AAAATTTGCTATGCTACGCACTTGTACGACGAAGACAACACATGCGGGTGTGGCGTCCTCTTAATAAAAAACCCCAAATAATGTGAACATAACAACAATATTATGCGTAAACGTGATTGGACGTCCAACGACTGTGTAGCGGTTGTAATATACCTATTACCTAATACAGTGAAACCTCTTTTAACGGACACCTCTCAATAGCGGACACCTCCAAATATCGGAGGGAATTTTGGGAACGGTGAAATGTGTACTCACTGTATTTCCCCTCTTAATAGCGGACACCTCCAAATAGCGGACGACGTTTAAGCGACCGAGAGCGTCCGGTATTTAGAGGTTTCACTGTATATAAGACACGCGTAGATCAATATTTCGCTTCTATTTCACATAATATCGTCGTCGTCGTCATCCGTCATCATCTATATTATGTTACGTATTTATTACAAAAAATTATAATAATATCATAACATACACGACAGTCTATGCCAATAATATTGTGCATGACATTTACTCGCAGTGTTTACTTTTATGATATCGATCGTGCCCGCGATTGTCTGCGCTCGGAGCAGTCGGTCGAGTTTTTCAGCAGTCATTATAATAAAAAAAGCGTATTATTTCGCTGTCCACAAATCGCGGTCCGCACAGATATTATCATTATTTTTCAGATAATTTATCAAAAAAATAATAAAAAGAGCCGACGGCAGTTTCGTTTGATCGACGTGTGTGCATAATATATACATTTAATTATCATGTACGATAGCGTATATTATTATCTGCAGTCATAACGACGATTTAATGACACACGAGCGATGGCGATTTTGTGACTGACAACGACGGCGGCAACACAATAAACAGTTAGGTATACAATGCGACGACGATAATCATATTATTATCATCGTAATCGTATTAAGAGTGACACGCCCGCCGTCGACGCGATCGCAGCGTGTGTGTTACGATAGAGTTTGAACGGTAGAGCAGTACGTTAATTTTATAAAATAATTTTAATTATTAGAAATTATTGTGATCTCTCGACAGTAGCCGGTCCGCGGTCCGGGTAAAAGCAAAAAAAAAGTGTGCGGTCGTGTGCGCGCCTTGCAGCTGAACAACTCCTCACGAGTACCACGGCGGTGTCATAGTAATAATAATAATATTATGATGTACAACTAGGTAGGTACCTATATCATCGTATGTTCGCAAGTCTATTATTATAGTGCGCGCGTAGGAAACATCGTATCCGGTCGCCGAAGTGTCATCCGCGGACAAGCAGTCGAGGTAAACGGATATTGAAATGCGCGTCTCCTACGGTCGGTAGGTAGACGTAGCCTATAGCGCCAGTCCAGGCACTCATTTGGCACTCGGCAACCGTTATTAAATGATTTTTTGTTTTTTACGTTGACTCGATAATTGTATTTTTTTTCGATATAATAATATAGTTTTAGTACCAGTGTCTTTTTTTTTAAAAAACACCGTTACGGTTGCTGCAAAGTATCGAGATCCGTGCCTGGACTAGCTGTCTTCGCCTATTTATATACATACGCATATTATATTCTTTGATTTAGAAATTCGAAAACATATCGTCATATACGTTTTGAGTCTAAGTAAATAATCCAATTTTAAAGTTTTTCATAATTTTAATATTATAATATGATACTAGTCCATCTCGTGCACAGTGTTGCCCGTTGAAAATAACAATTTTTACTCCGTTCAGGTTAACGAATTCTATTCTGGCCATCATGCTGTTCTGTCGCAATACGATGCGTCCGATGCGACAAAATACAAACTGTTTTGTTTTTCGTCGCGTAGGTCGGATTCACGTAGGACACGACGTAAGGGACGTAGTCGGTGGCAACCAGTTTTTGTCGGGGCGCGATTAGGCAACATCCGTTAATCATCTCACTTCGCCAATTATTTGTATACCTGCCGTGTAGCATTGCCACCTTTTTAAACTTGAACAGAGTATATAATATGATTAAAATTTGTTCGATTCGTTATTTAATATTTGGTATAATTAATGTTTACATTAGTTTTGTTTTTAATTTAATATTTGGTATAATTAATGTTTACATTAGTTTTGTTTTTAATTTAATATTTGGTATAATTAATGTTTACATTAGTTTTGTTTTTAATTTAATATTTGGTATAATTATGTTTGAGACTTAAATATTTTTATCAGCCATTTTGAATCTTGAAAGTGCAAGCACCACTTTAAAATTCAAATTTTTTTAAATATTTTGCCACTGTGCACACTCACTGATTCAAGCCTCATTGTTTAGGCTCTACATTGATCAGTCAGTGAGACAATCTGGACACATTAGGCTATACTTCATAATGTTCATCCCGCCGGGCAATGCTCGTGAAACTAGCCTGAGAGTGAGCAGTATATTATCATTTATCAGATAGACAGTCCATCTGCGGTGGGTTGCGGACTCCTCGAAGTGCGCATGTAAGTGTATAATTTCTATAACTCTTGAGTTGCAAAGCTATGACAAGTTTGTTATTTCTACTTAATCCAACCAATCAGTTGATTTCGCATTCCCATGCAGAATATTTATATTAGATTATTTCGCAATCTAAAAAAATTAAATTTCGAACGACAAGTATAGTTCAGTAGTTATACGTGTATTAATAATTATGAAATTTATTACATATTGTGGGGTATCCCAGTACCTGCACTTCACTCCGCATATATATAATATATATAGACTTAAAATATATAAGACTATATGGTAACGAACTACTCGTTAAAAATTTGGCTTTTATGCATACGTCGAAATCGTCGAATATTACCCATATTGTTCGTTGAAAAACGTTAATAGTTTTTGCAGTGTATGAATAACCATACTGCAGAGTCTATTACGTTTTAAAATTTAACCTGGCCCTCGAGTCTATTATTGTATACGGCCAGCTTAAACGCATTAAACAGTTATTTTTTTTCATATAGTAAATAATTTGAAATATACAATATTTTTATTTTTGTAGGGCCCGCGTACTCTTTAATTTTGTGAATGTGGCCGGGGAATCCAATAAGGTTGCCGATCACTGTTTTAAGCATTGATCGCTCTGTTTATATTTTAACGTGTGAGCGATTGTCTATCGATCGAATCGTGTACTATATATATATAGTATACTTACCGTATACAGCTAATCATGTTAAATCCTATAAAAATATATCATTTTGTTTCGTGTTATACTAAACGTGACGGTTTTGTGTTTATTTCGTATCGTTGCAGACCACATTCACGCCGAGCAGTTTTGCCGAACTTCTGTCCGGTTCGTATTCCGAGCTGCCGCTGAACGACGAGATCGACTCACTGTCAGACGTGCATGCTGTGCTGACGGACGCGGCCGAACAACAACAACCGAATCACCAGCAACATCACCAGCAGAATGGAGCGTCGGGACTCCAGTTGCCGAGTTTCCAGGAGACGTATGCCGCCACGGGCGTAGGGTTCAAAATGGAAGAGGATTACGGTCCACCGACCACCGCGGCGGCCGCGGTGACCATGACCGCGTCAGCCGCCTATCATCAACAACACCTCCATCCCCATCTTCACCTTCACCAACAACAGCAGCAGCAGCACCATCATCATCAGCAACAGCAACAGCCGGCTCATCACCAGCTCCTGCACCAACACCATGTCCAACACCAGCAGCAACACAACGGGCAGCAACATCAGCACCATCATCATGGTCTGCCTGCCCCGGGCCCGCCACTCATACATTTCGACTATCACTTTCAACACTTTCCAGGCGCGTTGCCTCCCTCGTCTCAGCAACCGCCCGATTCACCGACCGCTGAACAAGGCGGCACAGCGTCCGGGTTCGAACCCATGTTGGATCACGTGGTTGTCATGTCACCCAAGCAACACCATCAACACCATCACCATCATCACCACCAACAACAACAACAACAACAACAACAACAACAACAACAACAACACCACCATCAACAACAGCAGCAGCAGCAACAACAACACGTCGTGGTCGCTGTCAATCACCAGCACCACCATCAACAACAACAATCTCTGCAAGTGCCTCAGCCGCCGCCGACGCCACGGCCAACGACCACGTCTCTGATGATTGACGAGGCCACAGATCAGCTGCAGCACGTCGTCAACAACGCCGCTTTGGTGGACGCCAACAGGACCTCGAGGACTTCGTCTGGAGTGTTGGCGCTCAGAGCCGCCACCGATTCGTCTGCCAGGTGAGTCAAAATTATATATTATTATTAGTTCTCTGAAGTTTAAGGAACTAAAAAAAAAAATACATCTCAATGTAAATATGCATAAATCAATTTAATAAATACCAAATTATATTTTTAATAATTCGCACTAAAATAAATGGAAGAAATGGAACTTATAAATGTATAATGTTTTCCATTTAGGCATTTTATTGAATTGAAAAAAAAAATAATTCATCGGTATATTAGTGCGATAGAAATTAAATGTGCATCGACCCTTTCCGTTAAACTAGCCGACTGTAACGATTACAGCAATAAACTTCTATTATAGGTACATTAAATAATATTCTATATTATTATTAAAAACACAGCTTAGAAAGAAAAAGTTAAATTTTTTTTATAAAATTATAAATATGCATAACATATCCGCATGAAAATCAAAAAATATGCCTTTTCAATTTTTTTAACTAACCATTGTATAGCTCTGATTTCAGGGTATTTAAACTTTTTCATCCCACGGCTTCTTTGAGTCTTCATAAAAATATGTTAACGGTTCCCTAATTATAAATTACAAGAAATCAATGTTCATAATATCTACATGTTTGTAATTTATATTTATTATATGATATATGTGAGACAAAATCATAAATATTTAATATTGGTATTCAATTATAGGACGCCGCTCCCGCAACGCATATAGATATTAAAGAATGGATACTGGATAGGCAATTTATACTTATCAATTTATCATATTGGAACGAAAATGAAAATATTTTGAGGTTATTATTGTACATAATTTATGACAAGACCTCTGCCAGAACGAGAGGCAATGATAAAAAACAGTCTTTCTCTCTTTTCCATTCCAGCACACTTCCTTCTATTTTAATAATATAGCCATGGCCTATCCATTCTTTAATATCTATGCCACAACGCCTTTGGGAGCAGTGACACACAGTTTAAATACCTCTACTATAATATGATACCTATATTTTAAATAATAGGTGCAATGATCTGTTACGTTTAATAATGGTATCGGTATAATATTATAATATTGCTCATCAAACAATGCCGCATTCATATAAGTTATATATCAATGGTAGTGCATAAGCGCGTGCGTCTGTTGACTTGTGGGTAGCCCCGGAGGAGGGAGAAAATTATATTTGGCCTTTGTCCACATTTGAGGAAGTAACGTAGTTAAAAGCCTGTTTTTAATTGATATAGATACAGTAGAAGCCATTTATTCCAAACACCGATATTGATACAACCGCGTATATATAAAACGTCTAGATACGGATCTAGACCTACTACTAAGAAGAAACCAATCGCCTGTTAGAAACAACAATCGGTTAATAGACACATTTCACCTTGGTCCAGAAGTGTTCCTAATGAGCAGCTTCTAGTGCAGACAGTTCAATAAATATTAGTAGGTATAAGACCAACAATGACGCATTATTAAATAATAAGTTTTAAAGTTTTTTTTTCACTTGAACAAATGAACATAACAAAAAATATTAAATATCAATTCAAATCTGTACAAATAATTCGAATTATATTAATTGTTTAATGTAAAATAAATCCCTAAAAAAAATATTATGTACAATTGTGTCTCTTTTTTCCAGCCGGTCTCAAACGCAATTGTATTTACCTCTTGTTAAAATATCGTAATATTATATAATTTATTATTATTACTGTTGGAAATGTTTATTTTTTCGTTCGAAAACTCGACAATAATCCAATTCGATATTGTTTGCTTTACCCACCCAGGACACCATATATTTGTATCATATCGCTAGTATATACGCGCCGTGCATGTGCAAACCACTTTCCGAGGTATTATCGTGGAAACGACCCTCATACATAAGTATAATAAATACGATCGTTGTTGTCGTTCATCGAATCGCGTTCAATACGACGTAGGTATAGTCGTACGATATTTCATCATAAAACATCGCTCCTATCTACGTCGACTGCAAGAGTCATAATAATGAAGTTATTAAGTGTATGTTATATGACACAATATGATGTACTTTATATTAATTATTCCGTGTAAAGTTATCGTGATGCAGATCTATGCTGAAACTTGAATACCTACTTAAATTTGACGGAACTCGGTAGATTTATAGTAGGTATGCCCATCTATATATCTCAGTGTTAACCGGTGATGGCGGCGCCAGAATTTTAGTTTCAGGTAGGCCAGGCTAAGGCCAAAAATTTTTAGGGGTGGCTAATATGTTGAAGTTAACTTGGTATATATGTATACGTATATATATATATATACACGCCGATTATGATTTATTTAAATTTTAAATTTTAGGGTGGGTCACAAGGGTACCAAGAATTTTTAGGGAGGGCCCGGGCCCACCCTGTCCCATCCCGACACTGCCACTGACTGGTGTCATGTGGGGCGAGAAGGGGGCGATCTGGGCAAAACGAACAGAATTTTAAATAACTATCATTAAAAAATCGTCATGTATATAATAATTTAATGACCTTATAAATTATGATGTATTAAGATATTAATTATTTAATTTAAATATTTTCAAATAAGTTTAAGAGTGAAGTATTTATTTTTAATATACGTACCTACTATAATAAAATTATTGAATTAAAAAAAAAATTATTTATTCAGTGTTGATATTTACATTAAAAGTATTTGAATACATTTAAAAAGTTTGCTTAACAACATTGATTGTAACACATCAATAATATATGTCAACTATGTACCTACTATGGTTTAATGACATCATGCGAAATATATAATCAATAACTTTAAGAAAAAAATTTCAATTTCTCATTGCAATTGCTTTCAAGAAACAATAAATAAGTTATTACGCATTTAAGTGTTTATTATATTTATCATTAGTGAAGCTAAATAGTAAGTTTTGGAGCTTAGTTTATTTTGTATAATATGATAATTGTTTTTATTTATTTTTGTTATCATTTGCTGCTAATAAGTAATGATCTTATTTATAAATCATGCTAAGTAATAATTGAGTAAAAACTTGGTTCAACAAAATTTAAAAATATTTTATTGAAGAAAACATTAACCCGGAAAAAATGGCATAATACTAAAAACTCAAAATCACTTTAAAATATACTTAAACAAATAACTTTAAGGACTTAAGACGCACCAACCAATAACCGTACAATTATTGCATGTCGAAGTTGCGCATAAAATTTTATTACAACACAATATAATGGTTAGCTTTCCACTAACCATTTATCAATCGTAGCGGATAACTTGAGACCTAAATTGTTATAACATCATTAGTTTACTTACCAATTATTATCGGCGCTCGTTCTAAATATACTTATACAATATACACCAACGTATTAGTATTGTTAAATATTGAGTTGGAAAATAAATAAATGGAAGATGTGAAAATTGAATATTTAGATTTCTAATTGATTAGGATATGCTTATAAGGGTGCTCCGTACAACGGTGTCCCTCTTCAATTTAAGTACTGCATGTATATACAAATATCGAGAAATATAAGGACATAATCATAGGTAAATAGGTAAATTTATAACAATAACGACAATAATGATAATAATCAGGCTCAGATTTGAATTGCGAAAAGAGTTTTTTTTTTATTATTAAATTTTAGAATGCTTTCTATTATTAGTCATGATTTTTCATATATTATAATTTATAATGCCGCAGGATCATTCCAAATGATTCATCCGATTTAAAACGTTTATATATATTTGGTTTTAAAGTTTATTGCAAAATAATATAATACCTACATTAAATAAAAAAATAATTTTTTTCATTTAAACGATGGAAACCATAATTAATTTTCTATATGTGCGGCTTCTCTTGGTCACGCGAAGACAACATCTAGTTGGAACTCAAATTCATTCTATGCATATCCGTTGCAATTATTGACTCATTGTAATTGTTTAGCTCTTCTGAGATTGATTATGACAGTGTACAACGTATGCACTATCTTTATTCTTTAACATATCCCCAAAATAAGTAGTCACATGCTGAAAGAAGCCAGGCGAAACGCATAGGATGATTAATTGTGAATAATTCTGTGTTATGTAATATGTAGAGATCAAACGATATTAGAATACAAAAATATACAATAATTTACTCATTTATCCATTTTTAAACAATTTTATTCGAAATACATCTTTTGTTCGTAATAATACAAATTTGGCAGCACTGTTACCTATGATCAATAATTATACCTACTATATACTAGTTAAAGTTAATATTATAAAAAGAAAAGAAAACTATTTAAACATTAATTATATTATCTTTAAGTGGAAGAAATAATAACAAAATGATATATTGTATTACAGTTAATAATTACAAAAAGAATATTAAACTCAATTACTTAAAAGGTTAAGTGTATCAAATCAATATTATCAACAGATTTATTTTCTGCTAACAACAGAATGTTATTAAGTTTACTGCATATATCATAATTATACAGTAGAAGTCGCTTATTATTAGAAATACTATTGGACCAAAATGAAATGTGTCAATTAATAGATAATTATTTCTCATAAGCGATTGGTTTCTGCTTGTATTTTGTAGTACGGGCTGGCTAGATATTTTGTTTCAATAACGCGATTGTACCAATTAGTCGTGTTCGTCGGTTAAGCGGCTTCTACTGTATAATAATATACTAATGAGATATATGTGCGATAATATAATTTGATGTCATTAAAAATATAAAGGGTAATCAAATGTCATTTGATTTGTCAAATGGCAGCTGATTTAATATTTATAATTTTTAATTATATAATTCTAAATTGAACGCCATTAATCGTTCAATATACGTCATAATGTACATCATATTTTTTGAAATAGCGATTATAATATAAAAACAAAAAAAGCCTTATTATACCGGATAAAGATTTGATACAATTTAAAAACTTGAAATTGACCACCCCTTCATAACATCCGTGGCTACAATGTTAACCCGTCGCCTTCCCCACAAAAAAAAAATAAAATAAATACGGTCCTGGTTCCATATATAAAACAAATGAAATAATAATATAGTACCTATGGTTGATATTTCTGATATACGCGTTGGGTCCGTCAGACTTTCAGCCGAGTTTTTCAGTTTTCCCGTGGCTATAAGCTAAGACTTCGGTTGAACAATTTTTGTTTTATACATAACCATGATTGTTTTTTCGACCCCACACCCCCGACAAACAAACCCACGTTTATTTCAACCGATCGAGCTCAAACAGTGTTTCACGTATCCACCGGTTGAAGCAGTCTTAGATAGGAGGGTTATACATTCTTTGCTAAAAAACTAACCTTATCTATAATCATAATCTATCAAATACCTATAACACTCACTGTTTCAAAGCTGATTTCAGTATATTCACCTTCATTATGAATATCGTATGTATACGATAGTATACGTTTACAACTATATTATAGCTTTTTAACCAAGAAACCGAAACACGTTAGGTTAGGACGGTTAGGTTTATAGGAATAATTAGTACTACGATAATAGTAGGTATTTGTGTGTGTTTATCGTTTCTAAAAATGTTATATATAATAAAATACATAATAGAATAGATACAAAATACAGTGAAATCTCGCTTAATCGACATCTTTGAATACCATGTAGGTATAATTTCGACTAAACTCATTGGCACCATTGCCAAAAAATGAACGAGGAGACCTAAGTGCGAAAAATAACTCCCATTTGAAATGACTTTTAACCTGCATTTAAGACTACCCGATGTCACCACCGAGCTTAGATTAAAATTTCTAGACACACCTTTGATAGACCTGTATACACATCCACCGTCGTCTTTTACTTCTCACTATCCACTCACTGTATGTCTGTCTGTCTGTCTGTCTGCCTCTCTCTCTGCTATCAGCTGTCTTTCAACACCGTGCATACCACGTTGGTCAAATAATCGTAGTTATTGTAATTATTAATGATAATTAATCGTTGTTATTTTCCTTCGCAGCAGCCTGTCGCCGAAATTGCGGCATTGCATCAACACACTGTCGGTGACCGTGCCCGTCGAATGTTCGCCGCCTACACCAGACGCTGCTTGCATTATGCCGCAGAGGAATGCTACCGCCGTGGCCACTGCTCCGTCTTCACCGTCCCAATTGTGCGCCGTGTGTGGGGACACAGCCGCGTGCCAGCACTACGGAGTCCGCACGTGCGAAGGATGTAAAGGTAAGCGTCTCACCGTAACGCGAATAAAGTGTTTAAAATTTTTTTTTCCTGTGTTTATTACAATGATTATAATTGTGTCAGATCAAGTCTGTAAGTGTATTATATACATATCCCGTCGTTTTCGTGTTCGATTACGAAATTGTAAATTTTGTGTGTGGCTGCTTTATGTGATACTGACCTCCTGTAAAAAATTATTTGTAACTCCAGATTCAACAGTAACGGGCAAAGGAAATTGATATGATATCCGTTAATAGTCATAATATTAACTGTACATTTTTAACTGGTAATAATTAAAAATAACGGCCAGAGATACCAAATTGCTGTCACTTAATTTTCTTGCTGCGTCAGTGATTAGTTATTGACTTATTGTACATGCCAGATATATATGAGTTTATATTCTATGGCTGACGATCACTAATATTATTATCACTATCGTTTTTATTTATTATTGACGTATAAAATACCTACGTAGTTATACAACAACGTCGAAACAGGTCAATTATTTCAATATTTTTCTGATTTTGTTTTCAATTGGTTTGTCTATCATGAATTTTTTCAACTAGGAAATGGCGTTTTAGTTTTCAATCTGTTGAGGCGCTTCGTTCACTTTCACGTTTTCCGTAGATTTTAACACGTGTGTTAGGTATAATCTATACTTTGGAAAGGTGGATTATGAATTATGTTAGTTTCTAAGAAAATTAAATAAGAAGTTCAATTGTGTGCTAGACTATTTTTGAACAAATCGAGTTTAACACAAATTGGTTTTTGCTAAAAAAAAACCGTCCCAAATACTACTGACGATCTGATGACTTCATGCGGAAGCTGATTGAAAGCTTTATTTTAAGCTTGATCACGTTTATGCTTGTAACTGAAAATATATTTTCAAAATAAACCCAACAATAGTTGTTATACGTACTTTGTATTGTATTATTTAATTGCGTTCGATGAAGTAAACTATAGTATTATATATTACATTGTTTTTAAGCACAAAAAGACTGCAGACAATATAGACTTACCTCTTAAATATTATCAACATTTGTACTATATAAGTTAATAAAAAATATTTATTTTTATTTCAATGAAAAGTTATAAAATGATCATGTGGGATATAATAATATATATATTTATCACATATAATATTATGAACTTTTGTTATTGTACCTACATATTATATAATAAGTCTAATGATAGGTATAGATTTTTTTCACCAACTTTAATCCATCCTCTCTTATGATCTTTGGCCAACAATACTTAATCAAAATAAAATTCTGGTCCTGCTCTAACTTGTAAATATGTATACGATATGTATATGTATGAAAAATAACGACTTAAGACGTTAAATAAACCATTTTTGTTTTCTATACAAAAATTATTTTAATTTTACCCATAATTTAAACATTAAAATGAATAAAAGTTGATGAAAGTTTATTTAATTTTAGTTTAGAAAACATGACCAAATTAATATTTAATTGAAAATAAAGCCAAAAGCATTCTCAGGTATAAGCAGTGAGCTTGGTGCCATCAATGATACAGGGGGCTCTATAGTCTATAGATAATGTCCTTGAATTTAAATATACAAGTTAACTGTTATAATGTTAAAAATAAATATATATTCTAAACGTAAAATAGTTTACTAATGTCCGAAAAACGGTAACCATCACACGTCATGAGGGTACCTATAACGTATTCTCTTGAGACGTTAATATAATATTATTATTTAAAAACGACTTATACCATTGAATTTCGCTGTCTTGTATAGGCTTTTTCAAACGAACCGTGCAGAAGGGCTCTAAGTACGTATGTCTGGCCGACAAGAACTGTCCGGTGGACAAGCGCCGACGAAATCGGTGTCAGTTCTGCCGATTTCAAAAGTGCCTGCAGGTGGGCATGGTGAAGGAGGTGGTGCGGACCGACTCGCTGAAGGGCCGTCGTGGACGGTTGCCGTCCAAGCCCAAGTCACCACACGGGTCGCCGCCCAGTCCGCCGGTATCACTCATCACTGCCCTAGTCCGAGCACACGTGGACACCAATCCGGATTTCTCGTCGCTGGACTACTCACAGGTGACAAACGCCTATTCTGAAAATTATAATAACTAAAATGCCCTAAACCTAAAATTATTCCTTAAGAGGACGTCAGCGTTGTCTCCTGCCTCGAGTCACGCGCAACATAGATTAAACGCTTTCGCCTAATATCGTTTTTTTTTTTTTTATGGTTTTTGAGTAAAATCGCCTATAAAATTATAAAGGATAATATTTTTGATGGTATCAAATGCATTTTTACCTACATACTCCCATTGAATGATATTCAAAATATTTAGTAAACTAAATATTATTTTTTGTTGGACTGAAAGATGTCACAGCAACTTTTTGTGGTTTTTTATTTAATGAAAAGATCTTCGCGTTCATCGAAAAAAAATCATAATCACAAAATCCATGACAATAATATATAGATAGTAGGTACCTATATCCAAAGCTAGGCAAGTTAATGATTTTTTTTTTAAATCATTAAGTGAACTTAAAAGTTAAGTTACTCATATTTTTTCGTTAACTCGTTAAGTTTAAAGTTAACTTTGAAAAAAAGTAACATAACTTAGTTTAAAGTAAAAATTTTCTAATTCGCATAAAAAAAAATTCCAGACATATAATATGAGATATTAGATAGTTTTTATTTAAGCTCAAGAAAATTATTGGAGAAATTTAAAATGATACATCAAAGTACCAATTGTATTCATTAAAAAACGTTGGTGACAACATTCGACATCCACCTCAGGAAATCCATTAAAGTGTTAATCCTTATTACCTACCTAGCAGGAAAACATAAATAATGCGATTGATATACCTAATGATGAAAGTGTAGGTAAATATCTTATAGTTGATATGGCTGTTAAAGTTATTACTAATTTTTCATACTATTTTCATCTACGGGAAATTCATATTCAATTAGTAAATTATAAGTATACTAAAAACCTCATTAAAATTTTTTACTTTTCTTCAGACGAAAATTAACTTAATTTAGATACTTTTGAATAAAATTAACTTGAAGTTAACACGTTAATCTTGAAAAAAAAAGTAACGAGTTAATTAACTTCATTGCAAGTTTTAACTCGTTTATGCCTGGCCTTGCTTAAATATATTCATTAGCTTATACAAATTCTGCATTATTTATAACATCGCGTACCTAAATAGCGTAGATATTTTTAATTTTCGTCATTTATTTCGATAAAAACGTTTATTATATTTTTATAATTTAATAATATTTAATAAATTGATAGGAACATTATTTTAAACTCTACACGCGTCTGACTGTTACGTGTTAATACTGTTAATGTTACTGTTAATGCGCGTGTCTTGTATTATTTATACATGAGATTATTATTTATTTTCACTCTTGTAATCTTGTTAGTTAATACTTAGAAATAATAATAATAAATAAATACAAAACAATCGCGCCGGTCTTACATTCCCACGCAACAGGTATAATATATCATATATATTGTATGTTTGTCGAATAGAAAACCACGCGGGGGTGGTGAACATAATTTATACTTGAACACATGGCATTGTTGACAACAATTATTGTTGTCGTTCGAGTGTTATAATATTATATAGTAGTTGTTTGTACYTACATTATATTTTACGTACTGAGTGATTATGTAATCGAAAAATACTGAATACTCTTTAAACTTTAGCCACGAACTCAAATCTATGGTTCAGTATGCTAGAGCTAGATTCTCGTAAACATTTGGGTTGCTATAGGTTGAAACATAAGAAAAACGTCGATCGTACCGCAATAAAATAATCGCTATCTGTATAATACATAGTTTATATTATAATATTGTTTACGGGTATGGGAAAGTTATGCTATAAATTAGTTTAATATTGACCAAAATAATAATATGACTGTATTTATGATGTTTACTATATAGTATCACGAGCCAAAGCCTTTTGAACCGCTGATTACTGAAGCGGAAAAAATTCAACAGTTTTTCGGATTGCTCACGACGTCCGTGGAAGTGATCAAACATTTCGCCGAAAAGATACCGGGTTTCAAAACTTTGTGCAAATTGGACCAAGATTTATTATTCCAGTCGGCATCTCTGGAACTATTCGTTCTTCGTCTAGCGTACAGGTACRTGCTGATTTATTTTTCGTTTTTCATCTATTTAAAATGAACAACATAATTTCCAATGCTCTTAAAAATATTATATGTATATATAATATATCTTTATGACCTTATCTCACCCTCTCTCGCACTTTCTCTCACTCTTTATCTCGGATACCGTGGCTTATCGTGATGAACGTGAACGATCATAATGTATGTTCTAATTCTTGAATTTATCAATTTTTTACACTTTAACATTTGAAAAATAATAATAACTACAACAATTACTTGTATATTATGCAGTCTATTTTCTTTATGTTTTTAAAATGTATATAAAAATTCGAAAAATGAATTTATATTATTAATATGTTGATAATAATAATGATATTTCTCTAGGACCAAATACGCCGATACGAAACTAATATTTTGTAACGGGGTGGTTCTGGACAAACAGCAGTGTCACCGAAGTTTTGGCGATTGGCTACAAGCTATATTGGACTTCAGTCAATCATTACACTCGCTGGACATCGATATATCATCCTTCTCTTGTCTGTGTGCTTTAACTCTGATCACAGGTATGTACATTTTTTACCATTGAATGCTACGGTACATTTTTGATGAATAATTTTATACAAATTATAGGAATATATTATTATACGGTAAGGTTATTTCCTATAGGTGCATAAATATATTTGACTTATAAAATGTCATTAAAATTGACTATACCTATTTAAAAAAAAAGTTATTACGTTTCAAATTAACTTACTATAAAAAGATATATATATATATATATATTTTTTTTTTTAATTTTAACAAGAAATATATAATCTAGCTGTACCTGTACCCTTGGGATATTGATATTTAAAAAAAAAAAAATTAAATTAAACTACTTGGCCTAAATAAACATTATTAGTTTATTACCATCAAAATTTATCTAAAAATCAAGTTTAGAAATTGGCTATTTAAAAAAAAAAAAATTATAATTCTATATTTTCATTGTTATGAAAATAAATGGTACAATAGCGCGAACGTTTATAAATAATTTCTTCATAAAAAATATTTAAATATTGATTACAACAAAAGTTATTTTACTCTTAAGTCTTAATTACACTGTATACATATATTATACCTAATAAACATATGTATATATATATATTTATATAAACACATATACATCACTTTGATTGAATTTTTGTGGAATATGGAAGTATTATTTAATATACTCTGAGTCATTGGAACAAAAAAGGCCGGTAAGTTTTGCATGGGAAAGAAGTACAAATGCTACAGTCAAAACACTCAAAACTAATAGATACGAAATTTTCAACACATAAAAAGGAGAACTTTGGCTGTGAAATATCGTTTTTATTTTTTCGATATCGGAACTACAAAAAAAGTTATTTAAGTTTGAAAAATAATGGAAACAAGAATAACTTTTTTCATCAATAAATTAAAAACGATAGGTATTTTACAGATGATGTTACCCCGACTATAATATTGTGTATCACGTCGGAGTCTTAACTGCTATCACAACAGCTTGAGCTGTTCTATCCCACGTTTTGGCTATGTTGTACAATGTACATATTTGGAGACAACATATATCTACATATGCGGCCATGCGGGTGCTACGTCCTCTTAATATTATTGTTTACGTTTCTACTGCATAATTACCGCCAATTATCGCGCGTTTATAAGCGTCTTAAATTTGTGTGTGGTTTTTGTCCTCAGAACGACACGGTCTCAGAGAAGCGAAAAAAGCCGAACAAATCCAGATGAAAATCATCAACGCTCTGCGGGAACACATCACGTACAGCATGTCCGATTCGCAGCGCAAGTCTTATTACTTCTCGAGACTACTCGCGAAGCTGACCGAGTTGCGTTCACTCAGCGTCCAGGGGCTCCAGCGGATATTCTACCTGAAACTTGAAGACCTGGTGCCTGCACCGCCGTTAATTGAGAACATGTTCATTGCTAGTTTGCCATTTTGAAAACACGATTATCCATGTATTATATATATTACTATGTAACGTAAGTTGATTAAAGTGAATACGATTTTCTTAATATTCGGCAACCGTTAATAATTATATCTATTCTATTCTGTTGTACCTATTATACTTATACGTATATTATTGTTACCTACATCAATACTTAAATAGCGTATAGTATGATTATACGTAAGAGAGCGTGTTTCATTATCATTATTATCATTATTATTATTATTATTATTTTTATGATTATTATTATTATTATTTTTTTTTTTTTATTATTATTATTATTATTTTTATTTTTGTTGAGTTTCGAAAATTTATCCAAGCCCGGTATAAAAAGATCCTTTTAAAGTCTAGGCCACGTTCAAATTTTGTTGGCCCCTTCTACTACACAAAAAAAATGAAAACAACACTATCGAATTCAATGCATAGGATTCAAATACAAATGTTCCACAGGAACCTCTCCGTTTTTCCATGACCCCCCCCCCCACTATATATACCACCCCCACCGACTTAATTTCGGCTTGCAAATTTCAGGCAAGAACAGTTTGATATTTTTACTAACACATTTTATATCATGTTTAAATATGTTTCGATATTTGGATCATAATATAGTTTTATTGCTTGTACAAACTATAGACATATATMCACAAGAGCACATATTACTTAATATTAAGTCCAACTAATTATTTTGGAATTCTGAACACTCTGTATAAATTACATTTTATGTACACGCATATTATTATGATGTCTTAAATTTACTACTTTAGTAATAATATTGTATTTGTCATTTATGCGTTAGCCTACTTTCATCGATATATATATGTGTATTGTTATAGAAATTTTCGCGTTAGTTAACTACGATAATATGAGAAATGTACGTGTGCACTTCACTGGTATGGTGAATTCAAGCGTTCTCAGAAGCGAGCGGGTTCCAGAGATTTTCTTTTTTACAACCCTGACTAACCACAAATTCATCCCCTATAACCATACATGMAAGTGGCTGCCTCTGTGACACCTCGTTCGCCACTGTATTCGTTTGTTGAGTGTGTGTGTGTACGTGTATGTGTGTTTGTGTGCGTGCGCGCGTGTGTGTCGTATGCTTAAGTAGTTAAATTTAAACCTTGCCTAACCTTATTAGTATGTAGAATACATTGCATTTATTTTACTGATTATTACTTAATTTTAGTAGTTAAGAAAAATTAAAAACAAAATGCCGTTTGTATGACTTAATTATATAATATTATATAGCCTTGTTGTAAAATGTTTTGTTAATTTCTTTACGGAAAAATGTGTTAAATTTATAAACTGTTTTTTTTTCTAGCTTCACTGCAGTGAAATATTATTGTTAGTGAAACTTATCATCGGTTTCATTCCTTCTGTAGTTATATTATAATGTAATAAAAAAAATATGTATTGACATTTTAAAAACCTTATTTTTAATATCGTTTGTATCCTTGTGTTAAAAAAAATAATGTTCAATATGACATTCATTATAATATATAATATTATTATATACAAATTTAAAATACTTTATTATTTGATGTTTGTTGAAAAAGAAATCGGTAAATAGCCTATAGGTATTTTTTATTTAAAATGTATGATTTTATGGCTTTATTATTGTACCTAACTCTATATTATATACATATATATTTCAGAGATATACAAAACTAAAAGTATAATACGCCAGTTCTATACATTCATATTATGTTGTACTTTTGTGTGCGATTCAAAATAAAATATATATATAKRTATATATATATTTCATTAATAAACAGCTCATGCAAAATACCTGTAACATTTATAATAAAAACCTAATTTCTTTTTTCTATAAAAATGCTCAAAATGGCTATTTTACCAAAATGGCAAAATATCAAAAGATAATATTATTTAGGGCGAAGGAAATGTTTCCAGCATTAATACTTCACTAGAAAAATAAAGACGTCAAATGGCAAATTAGCATATAATTACTATTTATTATTCAGGGTTGGGCAGTACTATCGATACAAGTAAAGTATCTTAAATACGTATATTGTATCCGGATGCAGTAAGTTCTCGACTCATCGTCCATACGATCGGGATCCGGATCCCAACGGAAGAGGAGGCCATAATATAGTCATTATTGCCTTTTGTAAACTGCTGACTTTTAGTTGGCCAGAGTTTAGTGATCTGCGCTGCCTGCGGTTGGAATAGTTGACAATGTTGACAGTCTTCGACTTCTGCGCCTCCAAAGTTATCACCGCCCGCAGAGCTGAGAGGTTCTCACCCTTGTATTGTTGCCACTTCATCGAGGCACTCGTTAATCTCAACGAACGGCTTACTGCCCAAGGACCAATYTGAGCATTATTGGTATACTTTTAGTAATTAGCGTTAATACCTATCTTAAATTCTTAAGCTGGTCYCACGATACTCCTAWGATCAGCGAATATTCGTCGATCGTTGTTCAATTTAATAGTAGGTACGTTCGGAAGGCTCATAGTTGTTATGCAAAGAAAATCTACTTTTATATAAAAAAAAAAATGTAATGATCAATGAATTATTCATAATTAATAATATAAAACACAATTTCATATACTACCTATATTTAGTTTTTTTTTATGCAAAAAAATGCCTATATTGTCATGATAGTATTATAATACCTACCTACTTGGTTGTTATAAAATAAAATTCGATACTTTAAAGTAACGTACATCTATATCGTAACCTAAGAAGTCCATGAATATTTTAGAACCGTTTAGRTACCTACGAGTATTTTAGGATATATAAACAATTCACAATTTTAAAATACTTATACCTATAGCTTTAAAATAAAAATATAATAAAAAGCCTATGAGATGCCATATTATTCTTACCTTTAAATTTTAGAKGTCATTTCACAATAATTTTAGAAATTATTATAATGAAAATCATCATTGTGGGCGTAAAATTTGATATGTTGCGCGTGGGCTGGAAAGAKAAAAAATGCTCTCCTTAATAATAWTACAAGTTTTTTTTCTGGCTATTCATSTCAAAATTTTAGATTCTACCTAAGTTTGTTTGTTTAAACATCGATATTTGATATTTGTTTTAATTTTATTCTTATTAATATTTTTTGTATATTATTATTATTATTATTATTTTTTTTTATTATTGAACATTTTAGCTTTATTATTACATTTTAGGCTATTAGCTTTTGCTTTTGAAAATTTTACAAATACATTTTTATTTATAAGTTTTTACATATTAGTCACTTAAATCTATTTATTATTAGATGMTGTTTTCTACTTTTAATGACTTGAGGAGGAATGCTAAAAGTTTTTCTGGTTGGCGGTCRGGACCGATTATTTCGTATAGGCTTGATGATATACGTATGTTGTGATTTTTCCTTTCTTCTTCGTTGACTCTGCACTCGGTCAGCAAATGTTTAACCGTGAGGGTCGTTCCGCATGAGGTGCAATCGGTTGGAGTTTGTTTATTCATGAGGTGTCCGTGTGTGAGGAGGGTGTGACAGATTCTTAATCTGGTTATTACTATTTCTATTTTTCTTGTTATTTATTAGTTCTTTAGTTGATATAAGTAGGTATTAAAAATTACAATTTTAAAATGTTTGAAATGTAATTATATATTATTAAACTTATTTTAATCTGCAAGAATACATAAGATAGGTATAGTATAACTAGTACCTATAAGAAAAAAAAATTGCATTCAACCGTTTCACTACAATCTTTAGTGATCAAATCAGTAATGGTAATCAGTAATAATTTTAAAGCACAAAAAGTGTACTTAAGTACACATATTAACTTATAAATCGACATATTCATGTTTCAATGTTAATGAATTTGTTTTTTTTTGCATAATTTGTGCTCTTTATATTATATGAAAACAATTATTACCTATGATTACAAATTATAATGGCTGTTTTTATAGACTTTCTTGTGTGTTGTATAGTATTATTAAGTATTTTCAAATCAAAWAATAAATAATAAATAATTAGCTTATAAAATAGGTATAGCCGGTATGGATAGCTATAGGTAAGGAACCTACTTTATTTAAAACATAATATTTAATTAATATTARTAAATTGTCCTTTTTATACGGACAATAATCATATTAATATATAAAATTACTGGCATTTTCTGTAGTTGATAACATTTTCAAAATATTTCAAATCTATTTAGTTATTTATAGACATATGAAATTTTCAATCTTTTTAGTTTTTTTTTTTTATATAATATGAAAATAAAATCCTCTTTGTTGGGTAAAAAGCTTCAAAATGTAATACAAAGCTGCTAATGAATTGTCACAATGATAGTTAAAAAATATAATGATACAGTCACAAATTTTTTTTTTAATAAGCATTGAAAGTTCGAATTTTGACAAAATACGTAAAAATCATGAAAATTTGCGATTAATATTGAGATAGAAATTCATAAAAATTTATCTTATTAAACCTAAGATTTGAAAATTTAAAACAAAATTCTTCATGAGTTTGTCTACTTTATATAATTAACTGTATATGCTATGAATGACTGAGTAGTTGTGTACATATGATTTAATTAATTTGGAATTTATTTTATAGGTACTTAAATTTTTTTGAAATAATCACAAAATAATTTATTGATATAGTATAAAATACTCTAGAATCTAGAGTCTAGATTGACAAACTGCCTCCGCTCAGAATCATTTTTCGTATACAATGATATTATATCATTGAATTCAAATTTAATACTATTCAYTACCCATAACCCATTTGTAAACTACTATACAGCAGAGCAACATCCACATACCTGCTTTTTTATTTGAATACATTAGTAATATTTAAATATTTTATTAGCTAAATTATTTATATATTATTTGAGGTTTAATTCTATAATGGATGAACAAATTTAAATTTTATTTCATCATATATTAAATTAAGATAAACCTGATTTTAATAACAATCAATGTATTAATATTTTATATTTATTTGATAGATATTATAACTGTAATAAATAATTGCTCTAGTTATAATAAATAAAGCATCAGCTGGATGACCATATTAGTTTTAATAATTATATTATAATAAAATTATAATTTTACTACTTGCAGTAAAAATTATTCAAATATCTCCAAAATTATAATTATTTAAATGAACCTGGTAAAATATCTTTTAAGAAAAGTAATACCAATAATTACACTGATGAAAATGTTTGCTTTAAGCGTCCAAAAACTTTGCAATAAATAACATTTATTTGTTTTCTCTCTCTGTCCAACACTCAACATAGACAATACACATTTACACAGAATTATTGTTTTTTTTTTTATGTTTTTAAGTAATCTCAGAGTAAAATCATCCATTACAAAAATACAGAAAACAATATTTTTGAGGGAATAACATATCTATTTATCTAAATATTGTCTTAAAATAATTTAAACATCATTTATATTTACAATATTTTTTTGTTTATTTTGAAAGTTGAATACAAAATCAAAAAACAATGGAATATAATATTGATATGTCACTCTCTCAAAAATAGTATTCTCTATTTTTTTTTTGCAATGGGTGATTTTACTCTAAGATTACTCAAAAACATTAAAAAAATGGTTTTGTGTAAATGCATTTTGTCTATGTTTTTTGTAGCCCAGAGAGAGAAAACAAATGGGTGAGCAGACATACTCAAGTAATAATACTTCTAAAAATATAAAGGCTTTTGAATAAACAGTTATATTAATGATGAATTTGTGAATAATAGTGATACTGCTAGTAATACCTTTAAATATTTAAAGGTTAATAATGTGGACAATGACAATTGGTAATAATAAATATTTTTCTGTTTAGAATGATATATTTGACCTAAATGATCATTTAAAATATTTTTGAATAAAGATTGTACACTTTGGATTTGAAATGAAACAACTTGTACGGTTTTTGTCAGAATAAAAATTTAATTTAATACAATTTAAAAGAGAATAGTGAGAATACTTTCTTAAATCAATAGTTAAACAATAGTGTATTTGTAAAAGTACTAAAAATGGATRAAATATATGATTTTGTTTTTGATATTGTTAATATTAAATACGTTTCTTGGTTTGTTTGTTTGTTTCATTTATGTTTTTATTATGGGTATTACGGGACTAGACTATAAGTATATTGATATCCCTAGAGCAGCTTAATAATGAATAAAAATGTATTTGTTATCATTAAAATCTCACATGTAATAAAAAAAATAAAAATAAACTAAAATATTATCATTTAATAAATGATTATAAGTTTAAATTTCAACTATTGTTTAATAAGATAGTTAACATAAACATGWATAAGCTATAAAATAACACTATAAGCAGTTATGGGTTCATGTACCAATAATATAATTTTGTTTAACTTCATACATTTCATATGCAGTCTCTTCATGATGTGTAGGATCAAATTCAGCACCTATATAATCAATTTCTAATTGAAAAGGACCATCAGCTTTATCTGATACGGTAATGCCAAAATTAGTAATTCTATATAATGGCAATGGTGCTTGTTTATCTTGTATCCGTCCTTTGCTGGCAAAAAAGAATTTTGAAAATGGTATCTAAAAATATAAATAAACAATTAATGATTATGCGCCTTGTATTATAATTAGATCAATATCATAGTTAAATACAGAATACAAATGTATTTATAGAAAACTGTAATGGACAAATTAAACAGTTCATATTTTATTAACATAACTTTGATTACTACATAATATTATCTAGTTTAAACAGTTTTTACTTAACTAATAATTAATTTAGTACGGTTTGAAAGATATATGTTTTGTAGCCATTTTTAATTTATAAACATTTTTATTGTTCTTTTTAAAAATTATTCAGTATTAACTTCTAGTATATTGTAAATTCAAATGCTACTATTAGTGATAGAGGAAAGATTTTAATGAAAAAAAAACAATATTATACTTCTATCAATAAAATAACTATTTTAAGATATTTAAAATATACAAATAGTTGTATTGGTAGAAATAATGAATATTTAATAATACAGTTTAAAGTAGTCGTAAAACTGAACAAATATTTATTAAAATTACCTACCTAAATTGATAAACAATATGAAAGTAAATTTAACTTATTAAAAAAAAAAACTCTTTTTTATAAATTATTAAAAATATATCTTGATCATTCATTAAGAATTTAGGTAAGATAATATTAATGTAATTTATGTTTATCCCATTTTAGTCTATAATCTAAAATATCATCTTCAAATAGTGGTAACATAATAATTTTTTTTTAAGTAGAAGGATAAGTGCCATTTAAAAGGATTAATTAAAAATCATTGATTATGGTTAAGAAATAGATTTGGAAACTTTTTTAAGAATGTAATTAGTTAAATTGTCATCGTAGAAAGAAGTATGATTTTTAATTATTCCAAGAAGTTAAATTATTTCCTTATAACTGATTGGTTTAACATATAATTTCATAAACATTAAATTGTTTCATAGATAATGTTGTATTTTGTTTTAGAAGTCACATGTCTAGATTAAAATTCCATTTAATTTATTGAAAATATCTATTTTTATGACACAACTTTAAACTTTTTTATATTGTTATTAGWTTTCCCAATGACGTCGTTGATAATGCCCTAAACTTAATTAATATATAACTGAGTAAGATTTAATGTATGTTGACAGTGGCGCCCATAAGTTTTCCATGAACCATACCTAACATTTCATTCAACTATCTAATGATCTAGATGTGTAGTTATGCATCAATAGTGTTTACTCCATTGAGTTGGCCCTAGAACCTGACACCCGTGTGAAACCAGCGCAATTGCACTACTTAGTACCCTATGTGGGTGCCACTGCCTGTTGATGTTATTGCTTAGATTTTCTAACTAATTAATTCAAAATATTTCTAAACAAATTAAAAAATTTCTTCAAAATAACATCAAAGAGTCCAGATTTTAATTTTTCCTTATTTTTAAGAAGTGATCTATACTTTTAGTTTGTATATTTTTTAGGCACTATTATAATAAAAGGCAACCTTCACAACAGTTTATAAGATATTATTATTYAGTTGAATAAAAGTGTTAATTGATGAAGTACAAGTTGATTCATTTTATTTCCATCACTTTAAACAAACAGATTACTAACTTGGTTACTTGGTTATTGACAAATATTATAACTTACTCTTGTGGTTTGCCAATATGGTCCACCTCGAGTATACAACACAAATGTAAATACATCATTCCACATGATATCAAACTGTCCAGACACATGTATATTTATTAGGTAACTTCGTCCATCACCTCTTAAACGTAAATTGAGATGTGTGTATTGACTCCAATCCAAAAAACTGTCTCGTTGAAAAGATTTCTGAAAATATTATTTTAGTATGAATACCATGCAATAATTTTTGACTAATGAAAAAAAAAATATATATTTATATAGGTATATAATWTATAGGTGAAACAATACCGAAACACGTTTAGTTATCATATTGCAATAACCAGAATTTTGAATCCTTCCATCCTTTGGGACTCTAGAACACAGATTTCCATGAAAAAGCCCATAACCCTGATGACTAATTTGTAAATCACATTTACTAAAACCTTCAGCATGATCACTATCGCTTGTGACAATCCAATGATCCAAAGAAGATTCTTCATAAAATCTCCAAAACACATCAATTTCTCCTGGAACACACCAATTGAAAACATTATAAATCATATAATATTCTAATGTAGTAAAGATSTCATTGTAGTGACTAGAACTAAAATATTATAGTCTGGTTATCAGTGTCGGCCGGTGTGTCAGCCTGGTACTTAAAGGACCCCAAATGCATTTCTTCAGAAGGGCCCTCAAACATGTTATTAAATAAATATGATAAAAAAATGCTTATAAGTAGTGAAATATTATATTTTTAGTAATATCGAGGCCCCTCGACACAAATACGGCGCCGGGGGCCCCGAATGCGTTCGCGACCTAGCGGCCATRGCCAGGCCGACACTGCTGATAATTATTTCAATTTCAGTTGAAAACTAAAGTTAAAAACTAAAAAAGCATTACATCTCTATTAAAAATTATTCAATTAACAGTATGTGTACCTGCTCTGTAATCGATTATGGGATCGCTTATCAGAACTTCTTGCATTTCTTTTTTCCATAGTTTGATTTCTTTTTTGAGTTGTTTCAGGCCCAGACGGATTCTCTCGATGCGCGTGTCAGCGATCTCAAGCCCAGTGTCGTAGCCGCTCCGCTTATCATACTCGTGGAACTCAAAAGTCGTGCTTGACGTGTGCACCCTTCGCCGTCGTGTCCAGTCTGTCAACGCCGGGTAGACACCAAATGGATCTTTCCATCGGTTCCGCAATAACACYAAGGTAAACGTTTTGATGCGCTGCATCGCAGTCTAATCGCCGGACATAGATATCGATTTTCGATTTCTACGGCGCAGAGTTATCGAGTTTCGATAACCAGGCACACAAGTACACAGCAGAAACCTAAACACCGAGCTAGATGATCGTCTACATTAGGTTCGCAACATTAATTGTAACTTGTACCAAAAAAAAAAAAACACAAATCGATCATTCGACGTTACTCGTTAGTAAATCGTATCGCTCCTTCGCGGAGCAAGTGCTCTGGCAGTCGGCACGACGACGTATTTGTGCTTATTGATAATGCTATCGGTTTGTCGTTCATCGTAAAAACGTTTTGCGGTAGCTGCTGATGCATATCATATATATATATATATACTCTATGATTCATATAATACGGTTTACCGTGATGGCGTGATAACACAATATTGTAGCTTTAAATTATGAATACATATTATATTTTATTTAAATACAATACAGTTGTAAATTATTAATACATAATATAACATATTATATTAATACACAGTTTGTCGTTTGATAGATGTTTTGCCGTCAAATTAACTAGTCATAGGTCATTGACGTTGCCCAGGGTGTACTAYGTGGAAGCAATCTATCATTACACCCCATATTTAAAAAATGTAAATGTAAAATTGTAAAAATTAATCAAATGCAGTAGCGGCTCGTCAGGGGAGGCA